AAAAAAAAAAAAAAAAAAAAATACACCGTCTGGCACAGAGACTAGCTGTCATTATCACATCTCTGTTTTTTTTTTGTGTTTTTGTGTTGTTTTTTTTTTGGGAGGGGTGGGGGGGGGTGGGGGTTCCGTTTACATCCGCAATCTATCATTTCTATTGCAAGCATTTATTGGTCAGATATCAGATGGTGAATTTTAACACCAAAAAAATAGGTTTGGTTTTATTTTATTTAGTATTTTTTTTCTTCTTCTTTTGTTTGTTGTTGCATTCGTTTTAAATTCTTTGTCGTTGCGTTTATTTTGTGTGTGTGTGTCTTTGAGTGTTTTTTTTTTTCCTTTTATGACAAAATTTAAAACTTAAAAAAACAACCTTTTCTAACTCGATTTGTAAGTTAAATACAATAGGATTGCCTGTCATATTGACTGTAGAAAGCTTGATTATTTAAGTGGTCATGGTCGACTTCCGACTGACGACCAACCAACCAAAACGTTGGATGATTTTAAAGTGGTCATGGTCGACGTCCGACTGACGACCAACCAACCAAAACGTTGGATGATTAAAGTGGTCATGGTCGACTTCCGACTGACCAACCAAAACGTTGGATGATTAAAGTGGTCATGGTCGACTTCCGACTGACCAACCAAAACGTTGGATGATTAAAGTGGTCATGGTCGACTTCCGACCGACCAACCAAAACGTTGGAGCTTATCGGCTGGCTTTTTCTTAGTTTCTTGGTGGTTTTTTTTTACATCTATAAATCAAATTGCTTCAAAAATGTTCCTACTTGATCAAATGTTAATTTAATAATCATTGTTTAAATTGTCTGCGTTATTATGTCTGCGTTATTATGTCTGCGTTATTATGTCTGCGTTATTATGTCTGCGTTATTTTGTCTGCGTTATTATGTCTGCGTTATTATGTCTGCGTTATTATGTCTGCGTTATTTTGTCTGCGTTATTATGTCTGCGTTATTATGTCTGCGTTATTATGTCTGCGTTATTATGTCTGCGTTATTATGTCTGCGTTATTATGTCTGCGTTATTTTGTCTGCGTTATTATGTCTGCGTTATTATGTCTGCGTTATTATGTCTGCGTTATTATGTCTGCGTTATTATGTCTGCGTTATTATGTCTGCGTTATTTTGTCTGCGTTATTATGTCTGCGTTATTATGTCTGCGTTATTATGTCTGCGTTATTATGTCTGCGTTATTATGTCTGCGTTATTATGTCTGCGTTATTATGTCTGCGTTATTATGTCTGCGTTATTATGTCTGCGTTATTATGTCTGCGTTATTATGTCTGCGTTATTATGTCTGCGTTATTATGTCTGCGTTATTATGTCTGCGTTATTATGTCTGCGTTATTATGTCTGCGTTATTATGTCTGCGTTATTATGTCTGCGTTATTTTTCAAAATGCTGAAATTAGATCTACCAAATGTATTCAAACAAAACAATTTTCATTTTTTTTCCAATTAAAAAAAAAAGACAAAAGAAGAAATATAAACTTATCTATTGTGTCCTGCTGTGGTGCACGCATTTCATGTCTTCTTCTTCTATATTTTGAGGGCTCACGATCAATGAATTGATCATTCTGGCTCCTATATTTCAGAGGTGTTCGCGATGTTACTCTACATGGTTTTCAAGGGGATACTTCATTTTATTTTCCCCCTACATTCATTGCCTTGTTCTCATAACTCTTGAGACACATTTCAAAGCCTTTTTTTCAAGACAACGCTCCTGTTGTTTTTGTTCCCATTGAAGTCTCTCAATGCGCACCAGAAATTAGGTGTTCATGCACCAAACCGGCATTATCATCACGCAACCATCTTTTATGTAGTTTTATTTCAGATCGGAGCTACTTAGAACACTACAGATCAGGGTACATTTTTTCTTCAAATAGCGTTAACTGGGATCTTTTAACATTAAACTAGAGCTAGGCACTGAGTGTAATTAATTATCAAAAGCCAGTGTTACACCAAAAGAATATTCCTGTGTAAATGCTTCAGTTATTTCTGGTCAGCGTATCCCTGAACGTGTGTGTTCTGTACATCTCCTGTGTCAGAGGTTACATCTCTCGGGCTACTTGCCCGCACCCTTGCAACTGTACAACGTACAAGAGCCACCACGCCATTGACTGCAGTGACAGACACCTTTCCACGATCCCTTACTTTGGTGACTATGTTGGACATCTCGAAAACGTGCGCGTAGATTTGGACCTGAGAGGAAATCGATTCGAATACATTCTGAAGAACTCGTTCTACAACCTGAAAGATCGGCTCCGGTCCCTGGTGATCTGGAACAATAAATACAAAATTGAAGTCGCACGCGGGGCCTTCGACACGTTTCTGGACAGCCTCGAGCTGCTGATGATAGAGCCGCTGGCAGACGACATCCCGACTGCTGTTAAAATGATGAGCCATCTGAAAAGGCTCAGAGAGCTCCACCTGAGTACCAGAACTGAAGATAAGACGATTTTATCAGCCCACCTCTCCGGTCTCTCGATTAGAAAATTTGCGTTGGTCAACTGTGGGTTTTACGACATCGCTGAGGACGTCTTCAAAGATGTGAATCTTGAAACTTTAATTTTGAATAACAACCAACTGACCTCATTCCCGAAGGAGATCACCAGGGCAATATCAGACTCGGTGTTACATCTGTCCTTGGCCGGAAATAGAATTCAAGAATTGAAAGATAGCGACATTCCGTTGGACTGCAAATTGGTCACTCTTGATCTTAGCTCGAATAACATTACATCACTTGACGAAGGGGTTCTCATACGCTGCCCGGGTCTTAAACACTTCAATGTCTCAAACAACATTGATTTGTCCGAGGTCGGCATGAATGTGTTTGACGGTCTGAGCGGACTTGTGATTGACATCAGTTACACTCATGTCAGCAGACTTGATTTCGTCACACCAGACCAGGTCCTCGCGCTTCACGCCACAGGGTCCGGCATGTCGTGCAGCTGTGAGAGCCTGATCAATAACCTGGGGCCGTTTCGGAACAAGCTGCGAGGGACGTGCATAGACAACCGTGGAGGCATGCCGCAAGAAATAAACGTCAACAACGTGGACATCAATTGCACACGGGACACAATGAAACTGAGAAGACAGAGAACGTCAAGGATCCTGATAGAAGATGGGTTCAAGGATAGTTTTACTCCTTGTGTCTCTGAATGTACAGCAAGTGTGCCTGTTTCAGCGTCGTATTCAGCTCTAGTAACGTCTTTTCTAACTTCTGTCACAGAGTTAACCCAAACAAGTGAGACTATGCTGCTGGAAGCAACTACAGACACACCACGTGATCTCTCGACGACTTTACATTCAATACCGCCGCTTACTGCTTCAATCATTCAGCATTCACTGCCACTTACTACTTCAATCATTCAGCATTCACTGCCACTTACTACTTCAATCATTCAGCATTCACTGCCACTTACTACGCCCACCATTCAGCATTCACTGCCACTTACTACTTCAACCATTCAGCCATCAGCCACCTTCAACTTTGTCTCTTCGAAGGAAACATCCACTTCATCTTCATCTTTCTACAAACCAGAAATGACATCTTCATCAACAATTTCCGCATCCTTCGAGTTGACATCGACCAATGATGGCTTAGCTATGGCATCGACCTTTGATGGCTTAGCCACGTCAACAACAGTCAGCAAAGAAGCCATGATGTCTGAAAGTTTAGCGCACACGACAACCAAAGAAGGTGTCGAGACACTCACAACTATTTCCCCCAACGTAAAAGAACGCAAACCTGTTCAATCTAACGCAACACAGAAAATGATGATCGTTGGAGTGTGTCACAGTTTTCACTTGAAATATCTGCTTCACAGATGGAAGAACAAAATCTGTGATAATACTACACACAAGCTTATCAGGTATTTTAAATACAATTCTGGACAAACGACATTGATTGCATTTAACTCCAATAGAAACGTGAGATCAAAATCAGGAGACAAAGCAAAAACAGAATCCAACTTGCGTGAGTTTAACAATAGAACAATTAACAAAGAACAGAGAAGAATTGAAGACAAAACTATCACTAATACAGAATCCAACTTGAGTGAGATTTACAAAGAACAGAGAAGAAATGAAGACAGAACAGAAACTAAAACAGAACCCAGTTTGCGTGAGACAAAGAAGAAAGAACAGAGAAGAAATGAAGACAAGAACTTAAAACAACGGGCCAAAATGAAGCTTAGGAAAGTTCCAAAGGTAAAAACATCCCCAACAGTTACCGAGAACAGTGGACAGGTCAAGACTTGGTATTTCAACAGCATCGTGTCTGTCTGGGCGTGCTTCCTTCACGCTTCGCTCACGTTTGTTGCATTTTTAACTCTGGAGCATGGCCTGAAAACCAAACAGAGGCTCTTCCCTGGCCTGAAAACCAAAAAGAGGCTCTTCGCCGCCTTCCATGCGATAAAAAAAAAACACGAGGAGAACAAAATAAAATAAGATTTAATAATAAAATCATTTAGATCGTAGGCCCAATGAAAGTCCTCATTTTAAATCTGTGTGTAGTGTCCAACCTAGGGCCCACGGGGACGGCTGCCAGTCCGTAAATCATGGCTAATACTCAAATTAAAATCTGTACTGGCTCAGAAAAATACTCAAATAATTTCTTGTTTTCTATATTCTAAACTATTTTTAAAAAAAGCTATTAGATACTTAAAATTGGAACTAAACAAACCGTTTTAATCTTCAAAATACAAACTTGATGCAAACCTCCATTTAGTATTGAATATAGGGAGAACGAATATCCAGGGTTATTTCAATAATCTTATCTAATTGATCAGTTGAAACTGATATTTAAATAACAAATAATATCTAAAATCACAATTCAACTGTCTAAGTTTCTTTGATTTTTTTGGTAAGGTATAAGGAAAAAGTTTTGAGAAACACTATTTCAATGCGATATATGAAATACTATAGTTGTGCATGGACAGAAACCTAGGGGCAGACGGCGCCCCGGTCGACCAAGATAAAGATGGGTTGACCATGTCCAGAAGGACTAATATCAGCTGGAGATGAAAAGCCATGGATCGTTGGAATATAAGGAATTGGTGGAACAGGCCAGGGCCCTACATGGGCTGTAGTATGCCACTGATGATGATAGTCATTGATCTTTTATATATGATATCTTCTCTGTACATACAAAGAGTCTTGTGAGCACTACCAAGGTACATCCTTACTTTCCAGGTTCTAGAAGCTCATGGCATTTGTATAATACAATTTCAACTAGATGGAATAGAGGTTTAAGTTTATGACAATAAGAGGGTGGGTCCTGGTGATGTCATCATTCAGCCTCATCTTCTCTGCTATGCTGATAGAGATGCATTCTGAAGAGGAGACAGGAATGAATGAGCATCATATACTAAACTGATGGTACACTGCTTAACCCAAGGAGGCTCCATGGAAAATCAAAAGCCTTAACCGTTATCATCAGAGATCATATGCCAGCGGTGACAGTGACATTAATGCTTGATCTGCAACACATTATCATAGATTTCTCCAATAATGACACCAATCCACTCTGAATATTAAATGTTTCTGATCTTTGCTTAGGATGAATATACTTCAATTCCATAATTTATATTTCTATGTCATGTTAAGTGAAGCTGTATCTGCTTTCATACTATTAAAATCTATTTTTATAACAAATACAATCATTACCACGAAGACCTGCACACAAAATTTATAACAGTTATTAACCTCACACAAGCAGATAAAGAGAGATATGAGCCGATGTATTCACAAATTTTAATTCATTTAAATATTTTCATAAACCTGGTCAAAAAAATATATCACAGATAAAATCAAGTATTGGAGGCCCTCAGCTCGTTGTTATAGGTATATCAAGTATTGGAGGCCCTCCGCTCGTTGTTGTAGGTATATCAAACATATGAGGCCCTCCGCTCGTTGTTATAGGTATATCAAGTATCTGAGGCCCTCCACTTGTTGTTATAGGTATATCAAGTATTGGAGGCCCTCCGTTCCTTGTTATAGGTATATCAAGTATTTTCGATCTAAGTAAGTAAATGTTGTAGTTGTATATTTCACAATCAAACAAAGAAAACTACTATCTTTCAGAAAAAATGATTAATTAAATAATAATGCTGACAGGTGTCATATTGGTGAGTTGGAAATCGTAACAGTTACAAATTTTATGTCACAAATAACCATTCTAATATCCATAATCTATGATCATTGTTTAAACACTGGGAATTATTTCATTTAACAGTTGTAAGGGGCGGTTATAAAATGCTAAAATCAGAGGCCAAAAATTATAAATACTAAATCACAACAAAATTTCAGTCTAATCAATAAATATTTTTTTTTATAATATGTTGATTAGATTGTTTATTTTATAGTTCGCAATCAAAATACTAAAAATTGTGAAATTTTTAATGATAAAATTAAGCAGGGATGAACCATATTAAACATAACTCAGGCCATTCTTCAAATTTCAGCTTAACATGCATGACAGCTAATCAATCTACCGATGTATACAATGAGACCATTAAATAAATTTTAGCCATATAAAAATAAATACTCTGGAATGAATTAATCTCATGATAAAATTGCATAGATTTGGAGCAGATTTGAAATATAAGGCAAACATTTTCTTTGATCAATGAAGGCAATAGACAACTGACATAGGATAAATACAAGAATAGCATTGGAAGCATGTGTGGGTGTTATACAATTATTTGTGCTCTGATAGCAGTATTTAATTTTTAATTTTAAAAAAAATATTTTAAAATCAAACATAATGCTGAGAGTAAGTAAACAATATTTCTAATACTGCTGTGTGGTTATAATACTGTCAGAGATGATCACATGGAGCAGGTACAAAGTTGTTGTTCAAAGGTAAAATGATATCAAAACTTTACTTCTGTTATTACCAAAAGGCATATTCATTGTGATAATAATCAAGAAAAACAAAGGTGCTGTCAATAAAATGAAGTAAAACCTGTGCATAGAACCAATACTGGGCCAGTTTTCAAGTAAAATAAAGGAAGGTTATCTTATTGAACAAATTAAACTGGGCAAGTGTTTAAGTAAAATAAAGCGAGGTTATCTTATTAAGCAAATTATACTGGGCCAGTATTTAGGTAAAATAAAGGAAGGTCATCTTATTAAACAAATTATACATTTAAAACGAAGCAAGTCTTAAAAAATATCTATTGTTGCATTGCCAGTATTTATTGTATATTTCCTTCTATCAAACATGTCAAAACTGTGACAAAATGTGTTTTGAATATTGCCAGCCAGTCAGACAACTTTCAATTCTGGTGGTAAAGAATAGTGAATTTTTACAGTAATTTCCCTAGTACTAGCAAGATATATTATGTTATGAATGCTTAGAAAATAAATCATACAGTTCTAGAAAGCCCTTGTTAAACCATTAATTCATGATTAAATTAATTAAAAAATTAACTGCATGTGCTCGGAGTCTTGGCCTAATAATGCTTTTCTATATTTTTACTCATATAAAGATACAAAATTTAATCTTATCTGAATAATTTGATCCTATATATTGAGCCAGTCCAGGTTTGGGCCTCCCATTTAATAGAGATTCAGCTCATTTAAAGTATTCATCATTAAATAATAAGTAAAGACAACACCACAAAAATGTTATAATGCTTGAAAATGATATGTCAACAAATTTTTACAATATATAAATCTAGGATTATATGAATTTGAAACATATGGACTTGAAACAAAAATTTTGCACAAATTGATGTTTTTTAAATCATAATTTGATTTTACATGTTAAAACATGAATATGCATTTCAGGTATTAATTTTATATGAATTACCCCATTTTTATCAGCAATACTGATTTTATAAAAGACTTTAATTTGAAAACGGAAGTTGCACATCTAATACTTTCTTGGATTCAGTAATACTATAATAAAAGATGTAATAAGTTCCATAAACAGATTAGAATTGTATAATTCGAATATGTCTTTCATTCTGTATAACCCCTATAAAAATATACATTTGCAGTTATCAAATATTTAAGCCCAGTTAATCTTTTAACTAAAGCTAACAAAATAATATGAAATGTTTAAACAGCCTACTGAATCTCCAGAATTCAATCAAAACTGTAATATTATAAATGTCACATTAGGCTACTGAATCTCCAGAATTCAATCAATACTGTAATATTATAAATGTAACATCAGCGTACTGAATCTCCAGAATTTAATCAATACTGTAATATTATAAATGTAACATCAGCCTACTGAATCTCCAGAATTCAATCAATACTGTAATATTATAAATGTAACATCAGCCTAATGAATCTCCAGAATTCAATCAATACTGTAATATTGTAAATGTAACATAAAAACATGTTACTTGCTATATTTTTTAAGACATAATTTGTTTACTGACCCTAATTAAAATAACTGTGCCTCCCCTAGTGCCATTGGGTGAACACCAGCTTTGATCTGCTGAACTTGTATATCATCTAACAGGTTCCGGAAGGATTCAACACTCACATGACCTTTTGGATGGCCCTGTGCTGCCATTTTGTAAGCTTTATCCATGTCCTCGCCTGTCATCCTGACCCCAATGTTTGTAAAGATGGACTTGATCTAAACAGAGAAAAGAAAATCTCTTCTCCATCACTTAGTTGTTCATATATTAACATTATCTATTCTGTTTTTAAGTTGAAATCAACATTTCTATATTAGCCCAAAGGTCTACACAAGGTTAAGGTTTTAAAATGAATACAAAGAAAATCTAATTTCTTTCTTTCTGAATTTGATTGCTAAATATACAGATAAATTAACCTGCATTGAATATCATCATCAATATTTGGATACAAAAACTGTGTACTGACAAACAAACCTCTTCAAAAGTTCTGGGCTGTAGTAAATCCCTCTCAAAAACACCACGCTGACTAAAGATGGATGGAGACATCAAACCATATACGTAGGACTCATCCCCATAATTTATGCGGTCGTGAATTCTTTTGATTTTAGGTGCTCGTAGATCAGAACGTACAGAAGGAACCCCATAGGTGCGAAATGCTGATTGAAATAGATACAAAATAATGGAAGCTGGTTAATTAATATAATCAAAAATAAAATACATTATTATAGTAAAAAAATAGACAATAAATAAACATATTGGACAGTATTGTTTTTGTTTAATTTTTTGGACTTACATCTTGAGTTAATGCCTCCTGGTCCTATGACTGCATTATACATGGCATTGCTGGTACTATGGTTGCCCACATTAAAGTCTATCTGCTTCTCTAAGACTCGTGTAGTCAGTTCAGTTGTTTGTGGTGTCTTGGCAATCAGATCTGCTTCAGCAATTAGTTTCTCTGGTGGACCCTTCCTTTGTAGGTAGTCAGTGCCTATCATCATGGGGGGAGCTGAAAGAGAATATTCTGGTGGTTGACACAATTTTAAAATAAATTTCAAACCTTTTAAAAAAAACAACTTTCATGGAAGCAAAGCATGTATAAATATTGACATATTTTGGTTAGGGAATGGTATTTAAATTCTTGTAACTCTTTATTGCGGTGTGCCACGGGGGTCATATTGTGTTTTATTCTTAAGAGGGCTTTAAGTCTATCAAAATTTGTTGGATTATTGATTTACCAAATGTGTAAAATATGTACGGAACTGTCAAATCAGCAGCAAATAAAACATATGTCAACACATATTCTTTTTAAAGAGTGTCCTCAAAAATGGTGCAGCCATGTCTAGACAATAATTAACCCCTTTTCATCTTAATTGATAAAGAAAGTTTTCTAGCATTATTATGATGTTATTTACTGTGGGCCAGAGAAAACGTTTGTTTTATAAATGTGTTAAGTTACTATAAAATGACATTTTTAAAATTCAATTTCTACATTATTAAATAACTTACGACCAAGTTCATCCAGTCCTGTAGGCATCTTATCTTTCCAATTTAGAAAATTACAAAACTCAATGTAGTTGATCATTCCATCTTTATCCACATCACAATAATCTAGAACTTTTTCTAGCATATCAAAGTCCACAGGGAGACGGTATTTGACACAAACATTGTGCAGGTTGGAGAGAGTGATTTTCCCTTTGCCATCCTGCGGAGGATTATTTTTATGATGAAAATTAAAAAATGAGTGAATGATTGATTTTCTCTTCAAAAATATATATTTCATTAAGTATCATCATTAATTTTTCCTTAAGCATCTTTCTGTCTGATTTTTTTTCTTAGGTTACTTTATTTCATAGAAAAATTATATCAATTTCCCAGAATACCTGATCATAAAACCTGAAAGCTTCAAGGAGGTTATTGAAATGGTAATAATTAAGTTTTTTCAGCTGCTGTCTTATCGCGGCTACAACTGCCCTCTGACTCTCCTTCCCACGTAAAATGTTGTCTGGCTTGCGATTATGTATGACATCCCCTGCACCATAAGGGTCTGGGTGATGCAGGGCTCCAAAAGTATGATCAGGCGGAACATTCATTGTGTCTTTGATTCTGATGTCAGGAAAAAAATTATACACGTTTTTCAAGGTAAAATAAATTTTAAGTGTAAGAAAAATGGTGATCATGATTAACCTGAAGATTAAAGTAATGGTTTCCTCTGAAAGCCTATGAAATTTTATATTTCCTTTCAATGAGTTTCACATTTGACCCTATTTGCCATTGCTGAAATAAATATTTATCGGTCTTATCAATAGGGCTTATCTCTGAATATTCTAAAACTTAAAGTTTGCCTTTGATATGAAAAAAGATCAATAAAACAGACTGATTGTCATACTTCTGAAAATACATTCTTTAACAACTTTAGAATCTTACGGATCAAGCACTTTTCCTAGCTGGGGTTGAAATTTTTCTTTAAAGTCTTCCAATCGTTTATTGACAAATTTTGTTGCCTTATCTGCCTGAGTTTCCTGCAACCACATGAGGGTTTCCTTTGCTTTTTTACCATCATTGCAGTGAGGAGTTGGCAAACCATAACGTTTCTGGAAATGAAGATATAAATATGAATAACTCTGTACAATTTCCTCATCACAGCTTCAGGATACACTTTAATGTTACATCTTGAGATGCAACCAATTCAAGTTTTCTAATCTTTGGCCCAAGGTGGAGAGTGAATACAAGATGGATACAGAGGATGAGGGAAAGTGTGTTGAAGAGATCTTAAAGTAGGTTTGAGCTATTCACTCCGGCTGGTTTTAGCTTGAAGCATGAACTCCATGAAGCCCATACATCTTCTAACTCTATATTCCCTTCCCATTATTTGTATGTTCAGTAGCCACTTTCATTGTTTTCTCTTGTTATAACAAGTTTAGACGTCTCAGGACTAACAAAATGAAGTCATTAAACTCCTGATGAGCTAACTTAAATGTATAAGTTATCTGGCAGCAGATGCAGGTAAACAGATTAGTTAGGACATGGGGCCCCGGGCTCTTGTCGTCATGTTAGTTATTGACATGTTGATAAAGAGGCGCTCGCCACGAACCCCCTGAAGCGTTACCCGGGGAACAGTACCACCGTGTAGGGGACCCGCGCTGAAAGGCAAAGGTAACGCACGGAGACTGCGTTAGAACAAGCACGATTGCATGGCTTCCCACCAAGTGCAGTCGAATTATTTTACTAAACGCAGAAACAGGTTGGGACATGATTACAGTTGCCGTATGGATATGAGGTGAAGGTGTGTGGCAACCTTTCACCGGTGATTTTAAATATGCAGTCTTGAGGGTACTGCTCCAAGGCAACCTCTCTCTCCCATCTACGGTGTGAATTAGTCGCGCCGTAGAATAACCATACAAACCCTAGTAGAGGGCGTCGGTCTTAAACAACTACGCGGTCCCCCCGGGGTGGTAAGGGGGGACTTTAGAGACGTTAAATATCCACCCCAACCCCTTAGAAAGCCCGGCCCTGTTGCTGCGTGAGTAGCAATCCGGCTGGCCAGGTGTTTCTTCTCTGGGGCTGCCACACTAAGCGGCCAATCGAGTGGAGGTCGGGTGTGGCGGTCTTAGGGGCCGAGCGTCCCTGGCGTGTCGCTTCGCGGCCCGATCGGAATAAAGACCACTGGGGGAGTGGTTGACGGCCGATTTGGTTGGAGGGGTGGTGCGTTGGGGAGGACCATATGAGCCTACAAGGGCTCGGTGTTCGCTGATTTTCTTAAGTTAGTTAGTTAATAAGGACATGGTTATTGTGAAATGTAATCTTGAATTTGTCTATGATTCTAGTGAATAAAAACATGCTCACCTGAGGGTGAAAGTTTGGACTGCTGTAACTGCGATTGACACGCTCTCGTGGATAGTAATCAGCATGTGATTTCACATAAAGGTCATGTCCCTCTGTGGCTTCCCTAAAAACTTGCTCATAATTTTTGTTGGGGTTTATTAGGCCACCAGCTCCCACTTCTGAAGTAGTTAGGAATTGTGAACATTTATTAGAATAAAGATTTGAATTACACTCTCAAATATTTAAATAATTGATGCAAAAAAAAAAGAAAAAAAAAAGAGATATTTTGTAATAAAATTTGTTAAATTTTTGTTTCACAGAAGTGTTATGGAGATATAACCTTATGAATTAAAATTTAAATTTCCATTTTTTACTTACCCATCTCTGTTGGCAGACCAAATGTAAATGTCTCAGGATCAAGACATTTTGGCAAACCAGGTCTTTGGTCATAAGATCTTCCTAGTGGTGCACGATTATGACTCAAGTAAATATTTTCATCCCTGCAGAATAATAATTACACACTATTTGTTTGAGAAGAATAAATCAACAATCATTATTCATTAAATGTCTTTTATAATAAATCTTTATGATTTACAACAAATTTAAACATTAAGTCTTCTATTAATGTTCCTTCTTTTATTATGACTTAAGCCAAATGTGTTAAACATCTTACTTTCTCTAGGGAATTTTAACACTAAAATAAAATTATTTTTTAAAAAAATGTCTAATTTTAGCAAAAAAATTAGCTAAGTCGTTGGAAAATGACCTATCTATTTTCCTTTGTTGAAAAAATGTTTTAGGATCTGGATTGACTATTTGCTTAAGTGAGGTGGTTGGCTCAGTGTTAACTCCATGAGTCATCTCTACTGCCCACTGGCGTTGTGGATCATATGCTGTGCCATAGAAGATCCTCATCTGTCCAGCATCAGGCCGAAATGTAGCTCGAAATTTTCGTACTGTTTCCGGAGATGGAGGCTATTAAAAATGAGTATATTGGTGCTGATAAAGAATTTAATGTTTATGAATAATATTAAATATTTTAACAAAATTCCTCTAAACTTAAATCTTATTTATTTTAATGCTATTTGATTTTTATCATAGATAAAATTATTTTAAATACAAAAAATAGGATAATTTTAAACAATAAAATTGATCACCAGATGTACCATACTGATTTAGACATGGGCCATATTTTAGTAAAGGCTTGGTATCTTCATTATTTGTCATCTTTAGAAGCAAAACATTATATTGTATACTTATTTAAGCCTAAGGTCCCTTATCCTAAATTACTCACACCATTTCTCATCTCATAATTACTTGGGCAAATTTACTTTAGGCACTGCCATTAAAATTGTTATTGATGTATACTTTGTTAGGTTGTAATTTATCATAATTCAATAATTATAAATTGTTCATGATTTTTAATATAATTTGCCATACTTCAGTCTGGACAGAAAAGTGTGATGCAGTCTATAAAAAAATCTATGAAACAAATTTGATCCAATTCTCTAGTTCTTGTTCATCCTAAGTCACACTTTCATCCATGGTAGAGTGAGATTAATGAGAATGTGTACCAGATTTGACTAGATATATCATGCTGCCTATGCCTATAGGCTACTAAATTAGTTAATTATTATTGTTATTATAATTTTTACAGTGAGTGGTCTTATATAATGCAGTACCCCAGCCTAGGGTAAAAGCGTAAGAAAAAAATAATTGGGGTTGGTATACTTCCCAGCATGGGTATCTAAGGGTTAAAATTGACTATTCAAACATTTTAAAGTCTTTTGCCTTTAAGAATTTACCCTTTCATCTTTAGGACGAAGACACTGCTCAGTAGATTGTCCCATGCCAGTCAGTTTTCCAGCCTATTAAAAACAAATTTATAAAGATATTTTATAATTATTTATCAAATTATAAACCGCAATTTTAAGGCTAAAATATTTATTTTGGATGTTAAAAGTAGAAATATCCTTTTTTAAAATTAAAAATTGTGAGTAAACTTACAGCCAAGCATTGCGGTGTTCTGTCAAAGAACCTGCCTTCATATACTCTTTGACCAGAAATAGTTGGTAGTTTATTGGATTGCGTTGTCATTTTGTTTCATATTACACTAGCATTATACGAAATACACCACCGTTGTTATAAATTGTATCACTGCCCGTCTTTAGTTGCAAACTATATGTAAACCGTTGTTACATTATGCACGGAAACAACACACTGCTTGTCACGGCCTCCATCTTCTTTTGCATTTCCTAGCAACGAGACGTGATTTATTCAACAACTGTTGTGTAAATAGAAAAATACAAACTTAACTGTTTAAATATTGACTAAAGCGTTATTTTGAAAATGTTATCATTATTTCGCTTTTTTTGGAGAAAAAAAATCATATTCTTTTCAATAAAAAGGGCCCAAGTTAAAGCTTAACAATTGTTGTGTTTCTGAAAAAGTGATTCCGTTAGTTGTTTCAGAAAATAAAGCAGATCACAAAATAAATTCTCTACACATTTTCTTATATAATAATAACTTACATCAACTAACTTTCAATATTAAAAATGATTAAATTAAGGTTATTAGATATTCTTGGATAGGCTACTTAAAAATTATTCGTTATAAAACATTTTAACTCAGCAATTAAAAATAAAGATGTCATATAAAATTTCCATAGCCATAGAAATTTTTATCATATATTTAGATCAGTGGTTCTTAACCTAGGTTCGATCGAACCCAATTGTTCGGTGAGTCAGTCTCAGGGGTTCAGCGGAGGTTAAAAAAAAAATCAGATTTTAGTTTTCCTATTAAGAAGGGGTCAGTGAATGTGCACATGAAACTTGTGGGGTTCGGTACCTCCAAAAAGGTTAAGAACCACTGATTTAAATTGAATAAATTTTAAAAAAAATGAAGACGTAGCTCAAGCCCTAAGTTTATCATTTGGACATTGTGACGGGTAGAATTAGAATGGGCACAAGTCCCCAACGAAAACAAAAATCAGAAGACTGGAAATAAAGCCTTGTGCAAATTCTTATTCTTATTCTTTTTTTTAGATATAGCCTAGAATATTCTAGTATATTTTAAATTAATTTTATCGATAAAGCAACGTTTAACATAAAAATTGCCTTTAATAAAAATATTTTTTAAAAAGTAAAAAAGACCGGCCACTTAACGAATTGATTGAATGGAGACGGAGCCAAAGGGTTACATCCGATAACTAAGATGGCAACCTCCATATGATTGTGGTTTCGTCAGGAAATGACTTTAGTAGTTTTTTGGGTTTCTCTTTAATTTCCTTAGAGTTACCGATTATCCCTAATACTTTATTTACCTATATTTGTATGCTATAGTTTAAGTTAAGATGCAGCTTATTAAAAGAGCTAGCTTTGCGGTTACTAATCTGTTGAAGGCATCTTCAAAGTCGATTATATCAATTGGTCAAGTTGGGTAAGAATTATCGACTATAAGTAAATTTTGATTACCAATGGGTAATGTGAAGAGATAGCACCCTAACTTCATTTGCATGTTTTTTCCCTGGTTCTGTAAGGGTCAAAACCCTGGTTCCGATAGTGTCAAAACCCAGGTTAGGGATAAGTTTAGGCCTACTACTGGCTTAGGGTTCAAGGTTAGGTTTAAGTCTTAAGGATAGATTTAGGGTTCAAGTTAGGTTTAGGGATAAATTTAGGACATAAGTTCGCGGGTCGCAGCAAACGCGGTGCTATCTCTTCACATTTACCCTTACCAAAATGAAATTTCTAGCTGTTGTCCATTGTAGTAGTTTTAAAGTTATGAATTTTTAAAGTTTGATGTAGTTTGGCCCAACTAATTGGCCAATGAATGTATTTTTTCTTCATGTTCTGTGACCCCAGTCTGCTGGTTGGCATCAGGGGCAATAACTCTTGTTTAACCCTTTCATTACCGCTGGTTTTGGGCAGCAATAAAAAAACTTAAAAGAAGAAACTTTCGGTAATTTTCATCCTCTATCCGTAGGTACTCCAGCTCAAATTTTCAAATACATCTGCCCTACACAAAGAGCATGTCATTGGAAAGAGTAGGCTTTAAGCTTTCCAATGACAATAATCTTTCTATCATTTAAAGGAGAAACGTTATGAATTTTTAGTGATTTATTTTTTCCCACTATTTGGCTTTGTATTTAATTTTTAAAACTGTGATTGCATTATTGCTCTTTTTGTACTATTTTGCTTGTAGCTTTTTGGCTATTTAATTTAGAGTGCTCAAATTAGGAGGAAACATTTACAATACCATGTTTAACAAAAAAAAACAAACACATGGATTGTGAATTAACTTATTATATTTGATAAAATATGATTTTATGAGCATATGGCATGGCTAACAATTGTCGAAAAATTTTATTTTACAAAAATCGCTATAAAATTTTCGATACAAACAGATAATGTCCATCTAGAAGTAAGGCAAATTTAAAATAAATAAAATGCAGATCAGAAAAATTTATAGAAAAAATATTTCATGAAAAGCGACCATGGCAGAGACATTTTTACACTTTAGTAGATAACTTTTAAACTAATAAAGCTAATACAATGAAATTTTCAGTACAAACAGTGACAACCCAAATATAATAGAATATTCAAATATTACAAAAGCTAATAAATCATGCTATGCAAAATTAAAAAACTTCATGTAATCTGACGACATTGATTTACATTTTTAAACATAACTTTTAAACTAATAATGCTAACTCAATGAAATCTGCATTACAAATAGACAGTTTCAATCTAAATTAAATAAAATATTCAAAAGCAAAAAACAATTCATAACATTTTATATAAAAGTTATTAAATTAAACTCCATCTCTTGTTGACATTATTGTACCGGTACGGAGGGTACATTTAAATACAAAACATAAAAACATCCAATGCAATATAGTGATCCAAGGCAACAGATAGTGTCCTTTTCCACAGCATTAGATAGCAGACCTCAAACTCTTAAAATCGTACAATATCATCACATAATCATTCAATAAATTCTCTTTATACAGAAAAAAAAACCTGGAGTATATATAATGTATAGGCCTACACCTCAAAATCGTACATTGTACGCCAAAATCGTAAGAGTAAACAGGTCTGAGATAGTCTCATTGTCCACAGCAACAGCTGAAAGTATAAAAAATATTTAAAAATGAAATTTTAAAATTAGTTAACTGAAAATTGAAATAAATTTCAATCACAGTTTAACAAATTGAAAATCTCCCATAAGAACATCAGAAACTAAATGTGACAATGTTATTTCTTCATGATTTATGTCAAATAATGCCAACTTAAAAAACTATTTTACAGTAGTCTTAACATATCCTAAAGACAGAGCAACAACGGTCTCAAAAAAATTGTGGACATGGTTCGTGGCTGGGGGAGCTCTACCAACTCTTCATTCTCATCGATTGGTAGATTAAAAACAACTTCCTCCATTGTCAATATCAAATTGGGTTGTTTGTTGATCTCCTCCAGGTTGCAATGAATGTCCTCTTGTGTGGAATCTATTGAAAAAACAAAGGGAAATGCTTAAGTCTAAGTTGATGACATTGTCATTATAAATTGGTTTTTAAACAAAAATTACCTCAAATATACAAAATAAATTAAAGGAATGTCCCTAGTGTCAAAATATATTTAATTAGTTTAAATATTTTTAATGGTATGAATATAAGTCTATTTATACACCATTATAACTAGTAGTTTAGTTTATCTATAATAATATTAATAATAGCCATTTAAGTTTTCATTTTAAGAAGAGGAATTCCTATTTGCAAATTGGTCAATTTCTTATTTAAAGAATAATTGTACAAACAATTAATTTAAAACAAATTATTATTATTTTTTTTGTATACATTTATATTGTTTAGTCATCTTAGAATCAAAAACTTTTGTTTAATCCGATGTTTCAATGATTAGAAATGTTTTATTTAAAGCGTTTATTTCCAAATAATTACACCTCTTTCCAGTCAATAAAATTATATTTAAAAAAAGATGGCCACCGTATTTTCATAACATGTGGATTTTTTTTTGGTTGCTCGGTATTATAAATTCTAGAAATAGCCAGTAATGCTAACAATAAATGCTTTCAATGTTAAAGTGATCAAGTGAGCTCCCCTTAAAGTTTGTATCTCTCCCATACGTTATAAATAACCATCGACATGAGTTTACACTTACACACAGTTTGTGCTCCAACTGTTCGTCTGAGACAGGTCAAAGTGACACAGAATTTACACCCTCATGACCGAAATTCTTAAGCGAATAGAGTTGAAGACTGAAACTTATTTATTTTGAGAAAATAACGCATATGAACGACTAAGCCCGACATATACCGAAACCCGCCATTCACGGCTCGTCACAGAAATGTACCACGCAAAGCCTGCTGTATTTTTTGCCCACGCAGTACAGTATTGGGGTACCTACTATCCGATTCACTTATTAACTTCTCTATAGATTAACGAATAAAGAAATATATAGCATTGAAATATGACATCTACGTGACGTTCTTGGTATTTCAGACAAGTTCTTTGCCTCTTTGTTATGACGACAATGTGATGTCCTTGGTAATTGAAAGTGGGTGATTGTGATGTCGCATTGACATCATTGGTAACGAAAGGGTTAAATAAACATTTGACTCATTTGCATCTATTGCCCCAGGCCTTCCAACCCCCAGACTACCCTCACTAAGTAATCTTTGCTACCAGTGAAATATCCTTATCAACACCAGGCACAGAAACATTACAAATCCCCTCTACATGCATAGGAGCCAGAATGATCGATAAATCTATCGTGGGCCCTTAAGATATAGAAGAAGAAATAATAATTTAAACAACTTTTATTTTCAGAATTAAAGCTGTATTATTAAAGAGTAATTTTTATAATGTTATTGTTATGCAATTTTAAATAGATTGTAATTTATCTAACTATACATATCAGTTAATTTAAAAATATATTAATATTTGGCTTTTCTGTTTACCAAGCCTACAGCATCCATTACAACAGTGTATACCAAATAGTCTAAATAAGGCAACTCATCCCCTTATTAGCTAAAATACTGTTTGGGGACTACTTATTTTGAACTTTCAACTTTGGCACACGACTAATTAATTAAAGCTTTCCCTTACCAATGGTTTAATAGTTTTTGCACACTGCAAACTCTTATGAATGAAACTCTGAGATAGTACTACGGTATAGCCATCATGCAAGTGGCTATGAATAGTTGCCCAATACAACTTTTTGCACACAGCAATTTAT